TTGTTGATGTCAGTAATACCTATTGATATTTACCACATTAAAGCATTAGAATATCTTAGTAAGTATTATGGAAAAAAATTTCAAAGCTGACATTTTAGAGTACTTTAAGCACTATGTAAATGAAGTACAAAGCACTTTACAAATGTTATCTCATCTGATCCTCACAACCCAATGAGGGAGATGCTATTACTGTCATTCCCATATTACATAGATCAGGAAGCTGAGGCGTAGAAAATGTGACTTGCCCAGAGTCACACAGCTTGGGAAGTGTTTGCTTCTGGTTCCAGCACTCAGTCCACTGTGCCACCTAGATGCCTCTAAAACGAAAACCATGGAAATGGTTTTGGCCTCATAGGTGCCAGAAGGGGTCTCAGGCATTCCTAAGTGTCCCCGGATCACACTTTGAGGACTGCTTTATTAAATGATCCTAAGAGCCCAGCTCTAATATTCAGTGATGTTGTGATTCTCTGCAGTCTAGTAATCTAGTTGTAAGGAATTGGGAAATGATCTACATGGCTGGGCCTACCCCTAAATGGGGATAGTGACCACCCACATGATATGATTTGATGGCTCATCAGCAAATCATAACCCCAGAAATTGTTACCATTTAGGGGACTCCTCAAGGGCCTTCTTAAGGATATGTGGTCATTTTAACTAGGTTTGGGAGTTGTTTTACTTGGGAGAGTAAAACATATCAGCTGGTTTGAGTTCATTAACCCGAGCTCAAATCCAACAACCTCTTTCCTCTCTGAAGCTCTGCTTGACCATCTTACCTACAAGGGACCTCTCCTGTAACATTTGTTGTCTATGGCATTCATTGCGACTGATTGTATATGGTCTTATTTTATTAGCTTGTTGTTTTGAGTTTGTTTGTTTTTCTAATGTGAATTCTAGAATTGTAGAATCACCTGCACTCAAATATTTAGAGATTATCTAGTTGATAGGTTCTTAATCTGGGGCCAATGAACTTGCTTTTTAAAAAATACTTTGATAACCCTGTTTCAATGTAATTGGTTTCCTTTGTCCTATGTATTTCATTTGATGCATTTCCATCGACTTCACCAGACTGCCATAAGGGTCGGTCTCTCTCTCTCTCTCTCTCTCTCTCTCTCTCTCTCTCTCTCTCTCT